TGATTTATTCTGAAAACACACCTAAAATCATTAAGAGAATAAGCTCAACCCTGTTATACCATGCGCCACGGCGCAAAGCGGATTTTTCCATCCTTAAATAGCAAAAGTGGATTCTGACACGTCGTTAACGCTTTTGCGCACTACTCTTTGGACTTTGCGTATGAATTGTCAAAATAGAGCCCTGAGATTCAATGCTAAGACCTCCCAGACGGAGAACACTAGACTGACCTCTGTCTTTCCTCCTCTCTCTGTCCCGATGGCGGTCATGCTCTCTGTCTCTGGATCTGTTCTTGTCTTTGCTCTTGTCCTCTTTGGATGAAGCGTAAACCCCATGTTCACGTCGGTCTTTCTCTCTCTGCTGGTGTTTCCTCTTGAACTCCTCACTGACTCCTCCAGGGTTTGAAGGCGTTTCTGAGCCAGTGACTCTGTACTTCCTGGAGAGACATAAAAAAAAAAACTGTGAACTCATGATCACACTGCACTCATTAATGTGCTTTATTTGTGCTCCTGATATATAGGAGGCAATGTAATAGAAAAATTACAGATTTTTTAAACTATATATTTTTTTAAATAGTAATACTACTATTATTATTATTATTATTATTATTAAATTATATAATAATAATAATAATAATAATAATAATAATAATAATAATAATAAATATAATAATAATAATAATAAATATAGTAATAATAATAATAATAATAAATATAATAATAATAATAATAATAATAATAATAATAATAATAATAATAATAATAAATATAATAATAATAATAATAAATATAGTAATAATAATAATAATAATAAATATAATAATAATAATAATAATAATAATAATAATAATAATAATAATAATAATAATAAATATAATAATAATAAAATAGTAATATAAAATATGTAATAATAATAATAATATTAATGAGACTCAATGCTCTTTCAAAAAAAGTAGTGTAATTAATATACTCATTACACACGCTTATATTATGTAAAACAAACTTTGATTTTGGATACGAGAATCACGATTAATCTTTGCTTAGCACTAAAACAAAACAGATTTCTTGAAGAACAACCAGAACCCACCTTTCTTTTTTCCCGTTCCTGCTCTCTCCATCCTCCTGATTTTCATCATCAGACCCCGAATCACTTTTCCCCTCTTCCCAGTCTTTGTAGGATGACACTTTGGATTTCTTGGGCTGATCATCCAGCCTCTCCTTGCCCTCTCGCTCCTTGCGTTTCTGTGCAGCGAGCAGATCGAGACCCAGCAGCGAGGTGCGTGGAGCGGGGGCTCTGAACACGTGCTGTTCTGCTGCAGCGCTTTTCTTCTTCACTATCAGACCCCCGACCTGAACGCTGGGGTCACTGCCTTCTAGCCGGTGCAGGGAGGAATCATCGTCCATCTCTGCACAGTGTACAGCAGATGGGTCTCAGCCGACCGCGTCTATAAAGCAAAAAGATTGGCAGAAGTTACTTGTTTTGGCCTGGACCAAATGTACACAGCCATTATGTTGCGAGTAAAAACTATTGCCTATAAAATATGACATTAACATAATTACAAAGGTCATTCAGTGTCATACAGCTAAACAAAAATGATTTTGAGATAGCATATCTACAAACTTAATAAATAAATGTATTAATTTTTTTAAAATCTGGTTCTAGAATCTGATTGGCTGATAGTCGTGAGATATTCTGCAATAACAGCACTCGTACAGCCTCTTCAACCTTGTTTATTACTCCACCCACATTGAGTGCCAAGCAGAGCTAAACTAACTCACTACAGTGAGACAAATATTGCAGCGACAGCTAATATGAACAAATTTAGTGGTAGGGAAGAGCGATTCAGCACGTTTTTAGAAAAAAGTCAAAACAGGTCACGCTACAACCATTATATGCAGTCCCACAAATGCTCCCAAATATATTATGAGGTCGCATAGCTTAAATTTCAGGCGCATATAATTGATTTATTACGGTATTGATGGTTTTACAAAATCCATGTCGTGGCGCAATGTCACACCGGTAATGACTATGACACCGGTGTACTGCCCAACCCTAACTGTTGTCCTAAAATACGACAAAAAATAAAAAAAAATAAATAAATAGATAATCTTTTATATGCACCATAGGAACGATATTTCAGAAAATTTTGGCAGTTTTCAAACCTTGACTTCTCCAAACCGCGGTATACCTCGAAAACGGTTATCGTCCCATGCATATCCCACAATTTGTCAAAATATATTATTTTGTGTTCAACATAATAAAAACTCTAACCTGTTTGTGATGAATAAACGGTGAGTAAATGATTACATTATTTTAGTTGAACTAGCCCTTTAAGGGGTTAATAAAATCATAACCTGAGCAGCTTCTAATTAAAACTCTCTCTTTGATTACTTCTATTCCTCTCATGTGTGAGTCCTCAGCCAAATTAATAAATGTACATGTAAAAATGTTGTACTTTGTAATATTTATAGACATATTAGCCTAAATTAAAACAACAACACACAGTCCTTCAGCTCTCGGACATTTTGAATACGTCCCATAAATTCAGGTCACCACTTATTGTCAGAGACGTATAGTTGGGTTTTATTTTCAGATATTCAGACATTCTCCTTAATGATATAATTTTAAGGAAAGTATTCTTTGCAAATTCTAAATAGATAAATCATATTAGCAGCAAATGACTATGAAAATACAACATTGTTTACAGTAAATTAGATAGTGTTAGTGTTGTTTTGAAGTCATACTTGCATGCTAATTCCGATCGATTTTTTAAAGTAACATGATAAACAATATAGAGACTGCTAAATGAATGAATGTGCGAATATAAAACTAACTTTACCTCTATCTTATTGTCAGTATAACTCTTTACAGACCAATACTCGATAACTGCAGTGACTATAACTTAGTGTATTGTTTACCACGGGTAAATGTGCAATGAGGTTTATGAACCGATAACATATAACGTTGAGTTTAGAAAACCAGCGTTATGTAAACAATATTATCAATATTTGATTTAATTACAATGTGTAATCCAGTTGATTAAATACAAATGAATGTCATTAACGAACTGCTAACGTTTGTTAATGTAACAAACAACGTTACTCAATTATACAATAGCAGTTTACCTTTTCAGTGATATCCTCGGACGTCAGATATATGTGTTCCTCAAAACGCTTCTCGGTGGTATAAAAGAAGTAGTGTATGATGTGGCAAAATAAGAAATATATAACATAGCGGCAAACGTCAACAATGTGTACAGTAAGCCGCCATTACTATCCCAGCAGTCAAAGCCGAGTGACGTCAATCCTTTTCCTGGCCGAGCGAGCGAATCACTTTTGTTTTGAACTGGTTTCAAACGATTCAGTAAAGTGAGTCAAGTTAGTAAGTTAAATGGTGAGCTGAACGACTCATTGGGATGGTTTAATCTTGGATTTTGTTACAATAAAAGAAACAAAATCTTGTGAATTCGTGCTCATATACTATTAATTCATTCACTTTCTCTTCGGCTTAGTCCCTTTTTTAATCTGTGGTCGCCACAGCCGAATGAACCGCCAACTTACCCATACATATTTATGTCCAGTCTACAAAGACCTTTCGACTTCTTAAGTCGACCAGCAACTTGTTCAAAATCTGAAACGGCTCATAGGCCAGTTTCCCTTCGGATTCAACCATTAACAAAGTCCTCTAATAAAGCTAACACTGCCATTGCCATAGACTAAGGGTTGTATACGTTTGCAAATGCTTTCATATGTTCTAAAAATCACATAATTGGTAAAATAAAATATATACGTTGTCAATAAATCCATTTTATCAATAATAACTGAACAGCAATGCTTTTCACACGTGTTGGTGCGATACTTTGTAGTGTGCAATTTACCATAATTGCCTCTAGGAGTCGCTAATGGAAATAAAACAAACACACCCACGAAATGTACGTACGCCAGACAAGAAGTTGGCGCAGACCAACGCACACTCATGTTAATTTAATCGTTTGTAAATCCAAACATGAGAGTGAAACCTGGCGTACGCAAAGATTTTGTGCGTACACATCGTTGATGCACGAGGCCCCAGCTGATTGGTTGAGACAGAGTGATGAAGCCAATAATGATATGGGGATGGATAGGAGGCCATGATGGACACAGGCCAGTGGGCAAATTTAGCCAGGATGCCAGGCTTAAGGCTTTTTTCAAAGAACATCCTGGAAGTATTAACAACCACAGAGAGTCAGGACCTCTGGTTTAACGTCTCATCCGAAAGACGGAGCTCACAGAAAAGTATAGTGTCCCCTTCACAATACTGGGGCGTTAGGACCCACACAGACCGCAGGTTGAGCGCCCCCTGCTGGCATCACTAACACCACTTCCAGCAGAAACCTAGCTTTCCCATGTGGTCTCCGATAAAAAGTACTGCCCTGCCTATCTTCAGTGGGCGACCAATAGAGAGATGCAAAGAGCTAGCTGTCGGCTAAAGTTCAATTTACAGTTTAATACAATGATAACAAAGCACACAGACGTATCTGCATTCGAAATAATTTATTGTGACACAGCTGACATTTATATAGCACATTAATTCAATATGTCAGTCATAGCAATATACCACAAATATTCCTCATAATCCTTTTATTATTGTTATTACTATTAAATACATAGCTTTTCTGGCCACATTTAAGGCCCTGGACTCTTTTTTCCCCTATTGTCAGACAAAAACATTTATTTTTCATTTATACTCGTAATAAACTACATATGACATTAGAATATGATCCAATAAAGATTTAACATTGTCATCGATTTCTACACAAACCAAATGCACACAGAGACGTCTGAACATCAGTTGTTGGTCAAAGCTGAACAAATTAACACAGGCTTGCAAGAAAAATTATATTAATAATTTGCACATATCTTGGGGCAGGAATGTGGACAGACTTAAAAAAAAAAGGCAAATATGAAACTCAAAATAACACATGGCAGGATACTGAAGAGGAAAACAAAGGAACAGAACAGAGCTCACTCAGTAATAGTTTGCGTCATTCAATGTTAATGATACATCAGGATTACCTAAAAACAAATGCATATTAATGACTCGGAGTATGATTAAAAGCTACCTGATATAAATGGTGAAACATTGTTAGAGAAGGAAATACAATGTAATATTTATAACAGAACAGTAGACATTTTGGTTTACCTCACACTTTACAAGTTGAACATTAAAGGCAACACTTGCAGATAGATAGATAGATAGATAGATAGATAGATAGATAGATAGATAGATAGACAGATAGACAGATAGACAGACAGACAGACAGACAGACAGATAGAACGATAGATAGATAGATAGATAGATAGATAGATAGATAGATAGATAGATAGACAGACAGACAGACAGACAGACAGACAGACAGACAGACAGATCGATAGATAGATAGAACGATAGATAGATAGATAGATAGATAGATAGATAGATAGATAGATAGATAGATAGATAGATAGATAGATAGATAGATAGATAGATAGATAGATAGATAGATAGATAGAACGATAGATAGAACGATAGATAGAACGATAGATAGATAGATAGATAGATAGATAGATAGATAGACTGATAGACAGATAGATAGATAGATAGATAGATAGATAGATAGATAGATAGATAGATAGATAGATAGATAGATAGATAGATAGATAGATAGATAGATAGATAGATAAAACGATAGATAGAACGATAGAACGATAGATAGATAGATAGATAGATAGATAGATAGATTGATAGACAGATAGACAGATAGATAGATAGATAGATAGATAGATAGATAGATAGATAGATAGATAGATAGATAGATAGATAGATAGATAGATAGATAGATAGATAGATAGATAGAACGATAGATAGAACGATAGATAGAACGATAGAACGATAGATAGAACGATAGAACGATAGATAGATAGATAGATTGATAGACAGATAGACAGATAGATAGATAGATAGATAGATAGATAGATAGATAGATAGATAGATAGATAGATAGATAGATAGATAGATAGATAGATAGATAGATAGATAGATAGATAGAAGCAAAAGCTAGAAAATACATGCAGGTGCTAAGAACAATTCAACAGAGAAGCATATGACTAAAAGCAATGAACAGGTACCCAATACTCTGTACAACAGTTCAAGTATCAAACTCCTCCCCAAACAAAATGTTCTTATCAACATTGTAATAAATGGTCTTGGTAAAAATCATTGCGAAAAGGCTGAGCAATGGAGACAATTTCAAGTGTGTAGATAGAGGTACCGCACTAGAAATCTCTGTAAGAAAACAAATGTGCATTTAACGTTAAAGCACTGTTCGCAACGGCATGTAGTCTGTTGTTGAATGACAACTCTGGTGCAAAAATGATATGACAATATTTGAAACCATGACAACATATTCTAGCTCTTCTTGAAGGAATAGTTCACCAAAAAATGTGGAAAATGAAATAAAAATATCTGGTTTGTTAACCAAAATTCTCTAAAATATCATTATTTAGTGTGTTTTTCAACCCTTATGTACTGTTGCGGATGTTTTCATCCACTCTAGGGTGATTTTGCGTCTTAATTTGGCCATAACGTTCTCTGTGTTTAAGCTAGCAGAATGATTTTTGGTGACATCTTATTTTAACACACATTTTAAGAACGATACACTCTGGGCAAATTTATTATCCTTTTGATATGTTCAGGATGAAAACATCCAATGAATTAAACAGCTGTAAAACTGCATCAGTATTAAATACTTTTTCCACATATGTATGCATAAATCTGTTAATCAACCTCAGTCCTGATCAAAATTACTAAATTGCTTAGAAAATTACAGGATTTTCTCTCTAATTGCCAAATTCATAAATGATGTCAGTGATTTGGTGAAATAAAACACACACAAAATGATTTATTTAAAATAAAATAAAAATTTTGTGGACTGAATTTTGAAAATCTTTTATAAATGTCTTGAACATGTGAAACAACATTGGGCCTTTGATGCATTGTTCTGATTGATTTTAATTTGTTCTGCCTAATTTTCTGTTAGTGGCTGTTTTTACTCCATTGACTTCCATTATATCCACTTTTTTATTATTACAAAAACATCTCAACATATAATCATGCATTTTTGATTGTTGGTGGTTTTCCCTGTTGGAAGAGGTTGATTATCATTTGGCACCATTAACCCTTTAAATAGCCCTGTGTAAAAAACAAAAAAAGCTTAGTTTCTAGATTTTATATGGAGTATAAAAACAAATTTGAGTGTGTATTTGTGTGTCTGAGTGTGTAAAAGTGACCATTGCGCACTTACCTTGATGCGTCTAAGAAAATCTAATTGTTCATCTCAGCTCTCAGAACTACATGGAGTAAACAAAAACAAAGCCTGTGTATTTATGCACCATCAAATGTGGTTATAATGTAGGTCAATTGTGCAAAAACAGACACCAACAGTAAATTAGGGAGACAAAATTAAATTTATCTAACAATGCATCAAAGCCAATGTTTTTACTAATCGCTCACATCCAAGACTGTGATAAAAGGTTTAAGAAACCCAGTCCACAACTACTTTTTATATTGAAAATACATCATTTTTTGTGTGTTTTTTACCTGATAAGTGACATCATTTGTGATTTTGCCAATTAAAGAGTTAAAATCTTGTAATTTTCTAAGCATTTTAGTAGTTTTGATCAGGACTGAGGTTGATTAACAGATTCATTTAAAATAATTTGAATAAACTATTTATCTGATGCATTTTTACAGCAGTTTAATTCAGTGGATGTTTTCATCCTGAACATAACAAAAGAGTAGGAAATTTGAACAGTGCTTAAGGGTTAATACATCCACTGTAAAAAGTGATTAGTTATTTCACTTTCAAAGAAAAAAGGGAGTAAACCTGTTGCCTTAAAATTAACAGGTTGATTTTATTAAAATTTAATTAGTAAACACTGACTTTCACAATTATGCATAAGTTTGTTAACTTGATAATTATAAGACAACACGTTTGCTCAATTGTTTTAAACTAAAGTCAGTTAATCACAAATAAAACACCTTTCAATTTTTGGTTGAACTAACTTTTTTAATCTATGTTAAAAACAGCAGAGTACATTATGCTTGAAAAAGTACCACTTCAATAAGGGGTGCCCAAACTCGGTCCTGGAGGGCAGGTGTCCTGCAGATTTTAGCTCCAACGTGCCTCAACACACCTGCAAGGATGTTTCTAGAAAGCCTAGTAAAGCTGCTGTCACACTGAACTTGTCTTCATACTTGTTTCAACTTGTTTTCATACGCACACGATTGCGTCAGACCGGAAACGCAAGGTCATGCGTCAAGTTTTGCAGGTTGCCGCGGTGCAAAGTTCAAGCTTGGTGAACTCTGACCTATGAAATCGCATGACATGACTGCGTGAGACCAATTGAGGATCAAAACATAACCTGTCTGGACAGAAATTTAAACATGGAGCAAATCGCTTGCTTTTTTAATGTCTAATCATCTTGTTCAATACTGCCCCTTTTCGCAGGGAAGTACGACAGAATTTCACACACACCAACTCTAGTGTGACCGCAGCTTAAGAGCTTGATTAGCTAGCCCAGGTGTGTCTGATTGGGGTTGGAACTAAACTTTGCAGGACACCGACCCTCCATCATTGACTTTGGACCTGCCTGATTTAAATCATTTGGTCAAAATCCTCTGGTAATAATCAAACATTGAATAGCAGCTATGCAAATGCTGTGTACGCGTGATTTGTCAAAAAAATCTGCAAATTTGGATCAGTACAAGTTGCACCATCACTAAAGGAGCTGAATCAACAACACAGAGCGGTGGAAATCATTTCCATGCACATTTTAAAGATGAAATAAAATGACAGAAAAAAAAGTTTCCAGACAGAACTGGAAATCGTGGTAGAAAAGCCAGTCTACATGAGCCACTAAGCTATGGATCCTTTCCAAATAGTGGGCTGAGCAGAAATGAAAGAAGACAGAATGAGCAAGAGTTTTGAGAGAGTGATCTTATGGACTCTGTCAAACAAGTCAAGGCCTCCAGACAACAGAAATATCTATTAGTGGCAAATTTCAGGATGATTTGTGCTCCAAGGTGTAGTAACGGTACATGATGCCCACTAAAACAGCAGCTATGGCAGGAATAAACCAGGTGCTCCACGACCTGAGGAAAAAAGACAAACAATGAATTTTAAATTATATATATATATATATATATATATATATATATATATATATATATATATATATATATATATATATATATATATATATATATCATGAATATTGTAATTTTTGTGAGAAGTAAATCAGACTTCATACCTGGAATCTTTGGAAGTTGTAATGTAAACTTCCTAAAGGTAAAAGAATGATAAAGCAAATAAACGTCAACAAACTGCTAAAACTTTTACATGACGATCAATTTTGGTCACAAAAGATCCAGAAAAGTTAAGAATAAGTTTTACCTTTTTTGATTCTTTCTTTCGATCATCCTAAGAGTAAGAAAAGAAAAGCATTACTACAGCAAAAGATATTACATTAGGGCTTCACAAATTCAATTTTTATTAATCAAAATATGAATGATAAAAATGATAATAAAATGGCAGCACAGTGGCTCAGTGGTTAGCACTGTCGCCTCACAGCAGGAAAGTCGCTGGTTTGAATCGCAGCTGAAGTTTGCATGTTCTCCCCTGTTGGCGAGGGTTTCCTCCGGGTGCTCTGATTTCCCCCACAGTCCAAAGACTATAATTGAATGAACAATTTGTCACTTCTTGAATAGGAACTTCATGTCCCAATGACTCATTATGCAATAGTCACAAACACACCATGTACTAGGCACTCAACCGTCTTTTGTATGAACTTTATAAGGTTCTTTTGTGATTTTGACATTAAAAGCCTCGCCCCTACGCTTTAAAATTAACTCTTTAAAGGCCACTCATTAAAATACTAGAGTGTTAGTAGTTGTTTCTTTCTGCTTAGTCCCTTATTTATCTGGGGTTGCTACAGGAGAATAAACCGTCAACTATTCCAGCATATGTTTTATGCACCGGATGTGACAAAATACTCCCAATACTGGGAAACATCTATACACAGTCATTCACACACACACTCATACACTACGGCCACTTTAGTTTATTTCACTCAACTCTAGCACATGTCTTTAGACTGGGGGGAAACTGAAGCACTGGGAGGAAACCCACGCCAACGCGGGAAGAACATGCAAACTCCACACAGAAATGCCAAGTAGCCCAGCTGGAACTCGAACCACCAATCTTCTTGCTGTTAGGAGAAAGTGCTAACCACTACGCCACCGTGCCACCCAACCTTAACATTTTTGTAATTTTACATAATCGATGGCAATGAAGTAACCATATTTGGTTCTTCCAGTTGGGTGCATGAAGTATCAAACTTTTCCCCCCAGCTAAGTGTATAATGGGTATTTATAGTGCACCTTACATTTTTCAGACTTTTCAAAGTGAACACGAATTTCATAGAATTTAAAATTCACAAACTGATGTACTTTTCAATCCCATTTTTTGGCTGAATTCCACCATTCAAACAGTTCATACGTGTTATCTTAAAGGGACAGTTCACAGATTTCTTCATTTCTTCACACTCAAGCAATTCTACACTTTCGTGACTTCCCTCTTTTGAATATAAAACTATTTGTTCTGAAGAATATTGGAGAAAAAAAGATCCATTAATAAACAACATAGGGAAAAAAAGAGACACTGCTCGCTGCAGAGCCACTTGGGCTCCAATGAAGGGGGGCTCAAGCTCCAACTCCTCCTCCTATAAGCTGCTTTAATGCGTACATTCACCCCTAACCCCAACCCCCAGTGACATCACTTGTAGAAAAAGTGCAAGGAAGGAGGAGCTGGAGCTCAAGCTCCCCTTGCTGGAGCTCAGCTCTGTCCAAATAGCTCTGCAGTGAGCACCACTTGAAAAAAAAAATACCAAGCAAGGAGTCAATGGTTTTTAGTTTTTCAACTATTCTTCAGTATATTTTCATTTGTGTTTTTGGCTGGGCCATCCCTTTTACAGCTCATCCTTCACCATGCTCACAGTTGCTTTTAACCATAGATATCATAACCGGACCCTGAGCATGCTTCAAAACAGCACCACTATTTGTGCAGGGCTACCAGGACAAATGTCGTTCAACCGCACTAGTCAAGTCCAAAGCCGATGTGAGGATGCTGGACTTTTAGCACTGTGTACGGGTGTAGTAACGAGCAAACAAAGAAAACAAAGCACAGAGGCAGAACGTTTCACAGGTAAAAAGTTTTTTTTCGCGTTATTGTATGTTACGAACTTTTGTGATGAACAAGATTATAATACAGTCTCTTACTGCAATGACCATAAGGCAAAGTAATACCAAACTCACACTAAATACAAGTCTTATGCTTGTTTTGTTGATAAAAATCACCAAACAATGTTATGAAATATGACAAGATGCCGCGGTGCTAGAAACTTGTATTATTGTCGGCTAAGTGTACGAGTCATTCATAAAGGGGATTCATTCACAAACAAATTGCTTTCTCCATTAGAATGAGAAGTGAAAGCAGGAGAGGAGGCGTGTTTCAGGACATGGATTAGATCAAATTTAACAGGGAGAGTGGATAATGCATTTCCATGCAAACAAACACACGCTCTTTGTCTGCAATGCCTGTGCCGTCACTTATCCATCTATGTAGAAAAGTAAATACAAAAAATTATAATTTTCGTAATTTTAAAAATATATTTGCATACTGTCCACGGGGAAAACTCTTGATCATAGATATACGAATATACGTTTACATATCTATGGCTCTGGATGGCCAGTTCTCAACTGCACCTTGGGTCCCACGTTCATTTCAAAGGTGCACTACCCTGTACTAAAATGGCGGCTCTATTGACGGATTCCTACCAATACACAACAATGGGGTATATGCCGAAGCATGCTAATAGGACTTTTAAGTTGCTAGTAACCTAGGTTAAGCGCTTCCTGTGAACTGTTTGCCATTACAAAAACGGCACGTTTAAGGTCTGTTTTCTTTAAAAATCAGCGATTTCCACTGGCTGAGTGATATACAATATAAAGTACAAGAAGCACTGCATTAAATTACATTTCCCCCCGCCATATCTTTAAAATATGAGCATTTATTTTACCCCAGTATATTCAATGGAGCTTCTGCGCTAGCCTGCCGATTCTGACGGGCGAGTGCGTGTAAACGGCTTTTTGTCTCGTGTTGCGCTTGAGCAACTAACTAAATGCCAGAGTATATTTAACTGATTGTGTTTTAACTACATTACAACATCGATGCTGTAAAAAGTATCGTTTAAAATGGAAAAAAAAACTAATAATAACAGGTAACCGGAAGTTTATCAGCATGGAAACACCACTAGCTCGGCATATACCTTATAGCGTAGGCGACATAATGTCAATATCTATGACTTTTAACCATGTTTGTTCTGACATCGCATTATACATTTACTAAACTGTAGTAACCAATATTTTACCAGTTCATTTGTGAATCGATGCTAATTGCTAAAGGATGCAAACACTTTTCCCCATCCCTACTTTTGAGGGAAAACATGACTCCAAACAAGACACATTAAACTCCATGATCAAATTCCATATATTACTACTGCAAATGTCCATGTGAAACTTTGAAATATTAGCACAATGCCCATCCTAAAACACGCACTAAGAAAGTCAAGGTTTGAGAGAATTTTAGTTTGCTAAAGTGGTGCTTATAAAGCTAGTTCCAATCAATAGGTATGATAATACACTTTACCAAAATCTGATTTGAGCTCAAACTGATACAGCAAATTGATGCCATTACGAGCTATTTATAACGCCCTTAAAAGCCTTGAAAGATGAAACTTGCGATCATGCTAACAGTTATTAAATTTCCAGCATGACCATTAAACTCGCATTAAAGCACGTTAGCCTTTTCTAAAACACCCAATAAACAAATTGATGACCAGCTAAAATAGCATCATATTGCGCCTTGAAAGTAATACACTCATAATAAAGTCAACTAGCAGTACCATGTGGAGCTCCCCAATGTAATACTGCTGGAGCATCTCCCGGGCGTCTGTTGAATGACCCACATCTTCAAAACTTTCTGTTGCATCTGCGCCTGCTTGCTCCAGCAAAACCTCCTCGCCTCCTGGATGCTGTGAAAGAGATAAGGAACGTTTACAGCTTCTAGACATCACCACTTTTCAGTTCAGTCATGCACGCGTTGACATACAAATGATTCACCCTCCTGTCAATTTCTATATCAAATATTTCTCAAATGATGTTTAACAGAAAAAGGAATCTTCGACAATAGTTCCTGTAATATTATTTCTTCTGGAGAGAGTCTTATTTGTTTTATTTTGGATACAATAAAAGCTGTTGCTAATTTAAAAAACATTTTAAGGTCAATATTATTAGCCTTCCTAAGCATTTTTTTCTGATTGTCTACAAAACAAACTATCGTCACACTTGCCGAACTACCCTAACCTGCCTAGTTAATCTAGTTAAGCCTTTAAATGTCACTTTAAGCTCAATACTAGTATCTTGAAAAATATCTAGTCAAATACTCTGTACCGTCATCATGGCAAAGATAAAAGAAATCAGTTATTAGTATTGAGTCTATAATAATACTGAAGAAAAACTCTCTGTTAAACAGAAATTAAGGGAAAAATATACAAGAGGGCTAATAATTCAGGAGGGCTAATAATTCTGACTTCAACTGCAGATGTTATAAAAATCTAGACGCATCTTGTGCAAAACTTGCATCCCCTAATCCATAGGTCTCAAACTCAATTCCTGGAGGGCCACAGCTCTGCATCAGTCACAGCTGATCCAACTAATCAAGGTGTTCAAGACTATTAGATCAGCTGTGTTTGATTAGGGTTGAAGTAAAAATGCAGAGATGCGGCCCTGCAGGAATTGACCTAATAATCTACCTGATTAGAAAGGATAAGAGTTCTCTAGGCAGTCTAACAGCATGTCTTGAAGATTTGAAAGTATGGAAAGGCATTGTTTTGACCCCCAATAAAGTGATCACCTTGTCCCTGAATCTCTAAATCGATTAATCTCTCCACATATATCATATCATAAATATTTAATTTAATGCTGTCAAGTCAGCGGCAAAGGCTATTTTCATGGCAAAAACAAAAAACTTAAATATTAATACAATTAATGCAATAAAAACAACAACCAAATATACAAGATGAGATGAATTGGATTTTTCCATCTCTCTGCAACAATCAAATACACACATTCGTAATATACACAAAGAAAATTGGGTGTAAATGCAGATGTTAATAAAAACATATAACATCAGAGGCTCTCAAAGTGGGGGTCGCATAGGTCTGTCACGATATCTATTTTTTGTTGTACGATATATTGCACCAAAATGCATTTATTAAGCATGTAAGACTTTTGAAGGCCTAAAATTTGGATTATGAGATTTAAGACATCAAGACTTTTTAAGGCCCAGCAGAAACATACTGACACCTTCAATGGAGATTGAGATGTTGCACAATCAGCTAAAATGTTGATAGAATTGGGGTTTTATGCAAGGGTGATATTTATTTCGTCACCAAAAATGAATGAGGTCATGTGTTGTACAATAAGTCGATATATTGATTACTGTGACAGGTCTAGGGTCGCAGGACATTTGTTACCTCTGTCGGCGTATGTTGTCATCATTCCAGGTTTGTTTATACTGACTAAATCTGAATTCAATCTGCATTTCAGCAATTCCATGCAAATGTCAACCTTGCCATTAAAAATGATTTAGTTTTCACTTAAATAGCAAAACCGCTTCTACATTATTTTTTATAAACAAGTATTTTACAGTAATTTCACATCGGTCACATCAATAACAAAGCTTTTTTTAAATGCAAAAATGTAAAATAAAATCAATGATGTTTGTTCTATAGAGAGTCGACTCTTATCTTTTTCATTAGCATTGTTTTTGTTGTATTGTGTGGTTTAATTCACAGAATTTCTATGAAGTATATTGAATACTGTTAACTCGCAGACTTTTTGTTTGCATGTTTATTTTCTACAAGAAGTTTATAGACTGACATTTTTCTGATCCAAAACAACAAACCACTGAGTTATGGGGAAATGTTCCAACATAATGTTAGCATATACTTACCTTTCCGTGAATTTATGTTTCAAATTTTTACTGCAAATGTCACATTCATAACACTGAAATGGCTCATCTGTGGAACGTGGATGGTCTGAGCAGATTGAACATTCTAAATACATCAGCCAACTTGTTTGTTGGTGTTTGTCTGTGCAGTTTGAACTGGCCTTTTAAATCCAAAGCTAAACATCTTCTTCAATACCTGCACAATATTGAAAACATTTAACTTTGTGATATTTTTTAATCTGCAATAAAATATTGCAATATGAATACAATTTCACTAGATAAGTCAAATGACTAGAATTTATCTTTTTAGATTGATTGTAATGATTCTGTAGGGGACTGCATAAAATAAACAATCTACAAGCATAGATAAATTCAATAAAGAAAAATATACAAAATAAATAAAACAACATTTCATTGTTTTCCGAAGAGTTGTAAAGTATTTAGATATACAGTACTTGAATAATCAAATGTAAAATAACACTACATAGTCTTTATTTTATAAACAGTTTAATAACATTGATCATGGTTCATTTTTCAAAGTTACAAATGGTACATTTTTATATGCCTGAATGCTTTTAAAAGCATCACACAGTCACAGGCCTCAAAAAAAAAACTCTTGCACAATTATAAATTCTAATCCAGACTTAATATTGCACATATTTGTAATGTGACTATTGCGAGTGATCACATTGCAATATCAATGCTGAATTATTCATTGTGCAGCCCTACTTTGTGGTCGGATGGCCCTACTCTGTGGAACAAACTCCCACACTATATTGGATTGACCTCCACTTTATCCGAGTGTTGTGTTTTAACTGTTTTACTGCTATTAGTGTTTTTTTTTATCTCATTTAGACCTGTACAGTGCTTTAGTTGTGCTCTATAAATTAACTGAAAGTATTACAATTTCCAGGAAGGTGTTTCAGTGACAAGCGGAAAAAAAACTAATGTAATTCTGTCATGCAACATCAAGATTTGAGGTTCAAAAACCGGTTCTTGAGTGCAACTCGCCTACTCATGGGCTTCGTTCCAGAAGTATTTCAAACAAATTTTGCTCTAGGGATTTTTAAAAAGAGTGTCTTGTGTGGAAAATAAAGTGGATCATAGGTTCTATCTAATAAATAAATACTAAAATATTTGCACCAAGCTGGCAAAACTAGCGCTGGGAGATTTGGATTCAAATGAAAATCTTGTATAATTGAACATTTTTATTGGATTACGATTAATGAACGATTATTTAAACTTGTTTACTTTATATTTTGCCCTTATAATTTGCTGACAAGATTTGTACAGTAAATATGCTCACATATTACAACTAGGCATGGGCCGGCATACGATTTTGACAGTATGATAACCTTTGATAAAAATATCACAGTTTCACGGTTGTGATTACTGCTCTAAAACATTCTTTACAATGTAAAATGGCATCTTTGGACATCTTTCCAACTGGAGATACTGTTATCCTAAAAAACTATAAACTAAAAATAAAAATGTAAAATTCTTACATATACCGTAGGAACGGTATAACAGACAAAAACTGGCAGTTTAAAAACCTTGACTTTTCCAAATCACGATATACTGTGAAAGCGGTTATCGTCCCATGCCTAATTACAAGCAAGAGATTTTTGAATGAGGGGTGCATTACTTGATTTAAAAATAATTGTAAAAATAAAAGTAAAAACACACACCATCTATTATCTGTGATTAGCTTGTGCTGTGTGTCATCGTGACGTGTAGTTTAATGTTTTTTGAAAGGTGTGCGGGTAAGCGAAGGCTGCACCGGACCGTGGCCAAGCCAAAACCATGTTTTCTTGTAATTGAATGGCTAATAATTCTGACTTCAACTATATATATATATAGTTGAAGTCAGAATTATTAGCCTCTCTTTTCAAAATTACTAGCCTCTTTCAGCTAATCTTTTTTACGATATATATATATATATATATATATATATATATATATATATATATATATATATATATATATATATATATATATATATATATATATATATATATATATATATATATATGATATCATTATAGGCATCACAGTGGGTAACACAATTGCCTGACAGCAAGACTTCCGCTGGTTCGAGCCATGGCTGGGTCAGCTGGCACTTCTGTATGGAGTTTGCATGTTCTCCCTGTGTTCGCGTGGGGTTCCTCCAGGTGCTCTGGTTTACCCCACAGTTCAAACACATGTGCTATGGGTGAATTGGGTAAGCTAAATTGGCTGTAGAGTGTGTGTGTTAATGCAAGAGTGTATGGGTGTTTTCCAGTGTTGCTGGAAGGGCATCCACCGAGTAAAACATGATGGATAAGTTGGAGGTTTATTCCGCTGTGGCGACCCCTGTTAATAAAGGTACTAAGCTAAAAAGAAAATGAATAAATAAAATATAATGAATAATACATTTAAGGGACTTTGCTGAGAACTATTTTATATAAAAGTATTGAAAAATGATAATTATTATTTAAGTAATAGTCATACACAACTTGAGAAAAATAAGAGCAGTTACTGTGTTATATTCTACTTATAATAAATCAATATCAACTGTGGTCATGAAACAAAATTGTATAGTTTTTTGTAGTCATATTTATTTTATAAGAGAGGTATTATTTAAAATAATTTATAATAGATGTTTTGAGCAAAAGTATTTAATAAAACATCAAATATGACTTTCTCAAATAACTAAAAGAATCACTGGAGGCAGACTCGTCCTGGTGATTCATAATAAAGATTCGATTCCCGACGCGCTCGGTTTCACACGACATCATAATAATTATGTCATACAAAAATTACAATATTAATCAAATCTAGGCTATAGAAGATCCTCAAAATAATATTGCAAGTAAATAAATGTAAAACTTATAACACCAGTCGGTGAGAACTGGAATCGTTTATGTGACAGCTCAACGTGCACAGGCTAGCCGGGCAGCTAAATGGCTAACACACAACCATTCAGTGTCTTCCTATATGTTTTGATAGTAAATGCGTACAATTAATGTTATTTAGATAAATAATTCAGTGCTGTTTGCTTCAAAGAATCTTCAGTTATTAACTCACAGATAGGGCCAAAGGAACTTTGCTGAGCTTGACAGCAGCCTCGATTGTGCAACTAGAAACGATCCATCTGTAAATTAGTAACTAATATAAGCCAGTACGTAACATATAACGATATAAATACCAGCTATGTAAAATAATGCAGGTTTTACTGCTGTACTGTAAAACAGCTGATGTTGAAGACCATAATGAAACTCCAACTCTCTCTTACCTCCTCCATGAAACTTGTGATATCGTAAACTTTATCGTGAATGATGAGCCACGTGTCTTTGCCCATGTTATGCACTTGAACCTCCTTGCGTGTATAATATTTTACACCGCTATCCTCTTGCGTGCTTTCATTCTTCGTGTTCTGGTTCTCTCTGCCCACTGAGCTCCCAGTCTCTTCCCCCATTTTCACTCCGTGTCGCTCGCTTTCTCTGCTGCAGTTATGCGGAAAACCAGTGTGTAGGTTTGTCTGTTTGTTGCTTATAGACGTTTTTTTATGACACCCAAAACTGCTCAGCTCAGCTCTTGTTTAGCCGGCACACCATTTCACCATTAGTCACGAGAAATGACCCTTTCCATTCGCTTGAAGCGCACCAGCCAATCAGCGCTCAGATCACTTGCCACACGGCCAGTAGTAGCCAATTAGAATCAACAGCAGAGCATCACGAGACCACCAAATGCCACGCAGGTTATATTACGCACGTCACGTTACGCAACCCCAAAAGTCCTTAATACTGAAAAGTCCCAAATACCTTGTTATTTTTTTAATTGAGGGGGTTGTTGTATTATTAATCATACAGTGTGTAATAATTGATTTAAAATTGATTGATTTAAAAATGATTGAAAATATAATCTTTAATGTGGGTTCCACATGTTGTTCCGAAACAAATCAATTTAAATGATTACTTGTTGATGAAATGGATATATATATATATATATATATATATATATGATCTATAAAGTAACTTTAGGACACAGCCAGAAATGATAAAACCTTGATGTGAGTGATAAACCTTGATGTGAGTTATTTTTTCTACGGTTACTCTGTACGCTTAATACTAAAAGCAAAGCAGCTGTTGTATAATGGCTAGTTTTAAGGTATTTCCTCACTTCATCATTCTCAAAAGCTTCATCTCTGAGCTAACTATTCAACAAAGACTAACTGATAAAGTTTGCTAATGACTTCAACAGAGTGCTGGATTAAAACAATTAAGTTGTCCCAAAAAAAACTTAGAAATTGTGTTGTTTTGACTCATTTTAAATAAGTACTTTGAACAAGCATGTCATTTTAGTGTGTAGTACAGGTGGTTCAAAGTAACTTTAGGACACAGATATGATGATTTGAGAATTATGTTAGCTATGTTTCTACTCTGTAGCCGCTAAAATGCTAAAAACAAAGCAGCTGTTGTTAAGGTATTCACTTACTTTATCATTCTCAAATGCCTCATCTCTATGCTTAACTGTTCAACAAAGTCTTAACTGAATAAGACATATTTGCGTATGACTTCTGCAGAGTGCTGGATTACCCTGCTGAAAAATCCTGCTTAAACCAGCCTAGACCGGTTGGCTGGTTTTAGCTGGTCGACCAGCCTGGTTGTAGAGGGGTTTTGGCCATTTCCAGTCTGGTTTCCAGCCTGGTTCATGTTTGGCCCTTGTCTGAAAGCCAGACTTGGTCCAGTCATGTACAGTAATTCACTGCATGTGGGCCAGGCAAAAGCTGATTGTATGGGCCAGAAATATTTTGCTATGAGGGAATAGTCTTAACAAGCACAACTTCGAATAACAAAAATAAATAAATAAATGCAGTAGCAAGTAAACTATACAATTCACTTTTAGTGGTTCCATTTAGTGATTACTAATGGGGACACAAAGCACTACAGTCTATTATTAAACGCACAGTCCCATTAGAAAAGAGCTAGAAATAAACTTGAATTGACTTGAACTTTTATTATTATTCTCAAATGTTCAATGTCTGAGCTAACTACTCAACAAAGTCTTCGCTGAATAAAACATTTGCTAATGACTTCTACAGAGTGCTGAGAGCAGCTCCCCGTCATTTGCATATCTAATCAGCTAGCAACGAGTGCCATGTGTACTCCACTGATATCTGTCCAGGGAAATGGTATTGCCTTCAGCTGCAACGGGCTCATTAGGAAACCCCATATGAAGCATGCTCGGTTTGGGCAGTTACACATGTGGACGAATGGAAGTTAGCAGATATGTTTTAGTAAAGGTCAACGAGAGCTGAAAGGAAATACTTTTGATTTACCGGTCAATCTTTGTACTCTATATGAAAAACTGCTGTGTGACCTGGAAGCTGTTTGGAGTAAAGACGATGTTCCTCCACACTGAAATATGACTGTTAATATGGCTTGGGCATCTGTTTTTGGATAACTGTGTGTGGAGGTGTTCTGGGATTGTCCTACCAGGAGGAAAGTCCACATTGGAGGGACTGAGCTCTCCTTGGGATACACCTGAAGATGTTGGAGCAGATAAGTCTGGGTTCTTTTGAGAACTAAGTTAGATGACCTCCATGATTTGGCCACCGTTCTGGTTGAAGATGGATTGACTTTAATGTGACCGCAGGTGAGTGAATTTATCTTTATGAGAAAATCTGCTCAATTTAAGCTAGTTGAATGATTTAAAGGCCTGGTTCAGCCCCCAAAAAATGTATTTATGCACCCTCAAGTTTCAAACCTTGAGTTTTTGTTGAACGGTTATTTTTAATGAAGTTGGGTAACGAGTTAATTATGCTAGGGTGTTTTTTTTTTTTTTTTTTTATTCAAAGTAACTTCTGTTCAGTGATGCTCAAACAGGTTTAAGTGACTACATTTCATTTAGGTCATAAGTATGTTTACCCAATTGTATTTTTCTCTTTCCCTGCCTTTTTAATTATTGCCCATTCATTTACTTGCTGGTTAATACAGCTTTGTTATTTTAAGTAGTTTGTATGAACTGGTAATGGTAGCTAGTAAGATCTGCTATTCCTAAATTGATTCCTTTCTTGATTTTTACACCAGGGGTGCCCAAACTTGGCCCTGGATGGCCAGTGTCCTGCAGGGCTAGCACCAACCTCAACTAGACACACCTGAACAAGCTAATCAAGCTCTCTTTAGGTATACTAGAAACTTCCAGACAGGTCTGTTAAAGGGGAAATTCGAGCTGAACCATGTAGGACACTGGCCCCCACCAGGACCAGGCACCCCTTATTTCATCACATGGTACAAAACCGTGAGTAGTAATTGTGAGGGTTTTTTTTTTTTTTTTTTTTTTTTTTTTTTTTTTTTTTTTTTTTTTTTTTAAAGCTGCTTAATGCATTCGATAAAATGGCCGTGTTAACCTTAGAAGTTACTTGCATGGTAGTTCATTGTTCATGATGTTTTCCATGAAGTAGAATAGTCAATATGCAACATGTTTTTATGTACTTGTAGTTCATGAAGACTCCACTTTGAGGGAGGATCTGCTCAAAAAGGTTGTGCTGCTTTAACCTCTGGATAAAGACCTGCAGGCCATCATGAAAGACCATTGCAATGAGCCTCTGACTGAACCAGCTCAACACCTGCACTGGTGGAAATCTATCCACCTGCTGTCACCGCTAAAACCGTTTTATAGATCCCTTTTGTTCACTACAGGTTTTATCCTGGCAACTTTAATAGTATCTGGATGCAGCTTTTATGATGCAAGCTGAGACTGCAGCACTCTGCGATACAATGTCAGACTCGATACACTCAATGGAGTGAGGGACTTCACTGTGACTGGTAGGGTTAGGGGTGGGGTTAGGTGATCGCATTAAAGCATTTTATGCAGCTCCGATTGCACTGCATAGAGTCTGCAGCCAGACCCCTCAACTCTATCCACAAGGGTTTTGTTTTGGCAGTGCAACTTTCCTTAAGTTGCTGTTTTTAATAAGGCAGTGTAAGGCTTCTCTCCAGTGTGAACCCTTATGTTTGTTCATTCCTCCAAGAGGTTCTCAGAGTATGGGTTCATGTTGGTGCCTTTTTTTTTTTTTTTAATATACACACACAAGTCTTTACTGTCCAGCAATTCACAATTTACCTCTGAATTTCACATGTGTTCACAGAATAAAGATCACTTTTTTTTTTCTTTTTTTAAATGGTATTTGTAGCACATTCAGTTTTTTTCTTGTCATTTTAAATGAATAAATGTCCCTGGTTTCTTGATGCAGTAGGCTACTGTTTTTGTTAACTGTTTGTTGCTTTATCTTCGCTCCTCAACTAAAATGTCCAAGCAACGTATTTCCATTGAGTTCTATTTAATCTTAAGTAACATCTGGTAAACTAAGTTTTATTACATAAACAGCCAAACAAATCGAGCTGCTACAATATCAGTAAAAGATTTTAAATTGAGAAAAGTGACAACCCTTTCAAAATTGGCCATAAGATTTTTACGATAATTTTTTTTTAAAAAATGGTCCCTGTATAAACTACTTGGACATTTCTTCTTTATTAATCAATGCTACAAAAATGTATAGATTCGTTGTTTTAGTTCCTTGGGTATGATTCAAACAATCATGCTGTTATAAGATTTTTTTCAGAGCTAATAGTTGACACGTAGACCTCACTTGCGTTAAAACATTTAATTTTAAGTGTTTAAATACTTTATTAAACAGAACATCTGCATAAACTGTTACATTAATTCATATCACATAAGTCAAAATATGTATGCATTTGAAAGTTTTGCCATTTTTGTAGTAGAAATGAGCTGGGGCTATATAAAGAGTTCAGATAAAAAAAAAAAAATAATTTAAAAAAAAATCAGTGTCTTTGAAATTTTCTTCTAGAATGAGCCTTTTAAGTAAATGTTACCTTGGCTTATATCTCTGCTACTAAATTGTCCAAGCAACACGTTTTCATTAAGTTTTGTTTTGTTTAATCCAAGTAACTCCTGTTAAACTACATTGAATTTTAATTGAAATGGCCTGACTAATACGGTTAATACTGAAACCTTTAATGCCAATCTTGATCTACAATGTCAGAATGCAGTACTACACTGAAAAGGAGTAACTATTGTAAAACTGGCCACAAGGTGGCAATAAATCGTGTGTGTGTGTGTGAGAGAGAAGTTAGAAATGTATTCACCAACGGTACAAGATATATCGCCATCCTGATTTCACCTAGTAGGACATGTTCCTGGATTTAACATCTATGTTGATCCTGCAACAACATTCAAATCGGAATTAAGGAATATGTTTACCATTTATGTGTGGTTTAAGGTTCGGTTCATTCACTTCTACTTGATTGTGATCCATCTATTATTCCCCTGTGATTTTGGGAATAGTTAACAGTTATGGTTGGGTTTATGGATGGGGAATAGGTATGGATTGCATTTACGAACAAATGATGTTTAAGGATAATCTTAGATGTTAATCCAGGTTTGCAATGTTTAAAAAATCATGACCTGCGTATGGATATTCCTAGTTTTAGTCTATTGGGTGTGATTCCAAACATAGCCATGCTGCTTAAATTCAGAATTAATACTTCACATATTTAGATTTTAGATATATTCTTAAACATATTCAAGCATTCATTTAAAATGTTTGAATATTAATTTTAAAAGGGCAACATCAGGGTAAAGAGTGTTTCATTACAAAGGTCAAAATTTGTGTGTATATATTTTATTATATTTAAAATACTTTAAATCCTTTTTGTAGCCCTCTAGAAACAAGCTGAGGCTTCATTTAGTGCGTCTGATTTTTCCTTTAAAATTTAAAAAAGGTCCTGCAATTTCACTTGTATGGCACAGAGCAGTTTTTTAAGAGGCACGTAGCCATCCTGGTAAAATGAGTGGTTCTTTTATCTTAAAAAGACCTTTTAGCAGTTATTTGCCTCATGTTCTACTTAATTATGAGATTTAAATTCTGCAACTTAGTGACAATTTAAGCACTAATTTTAGCTGGATTAGCTAATCAGATTGTCATAACCACAACTTTTGAAGTATAAAAAATATTTCCAAAAATTTAGAATAAAGAATACATTTCAAATACAAAAAAATCATTATTCAATAATAAAAATGTACAGGACTCTGTTAAAGTTTTAAATGTAAAACTGTAGTCTATTGTCATTTATTAGGCAAATAACAAAATTGGCTCTCAAAATTGGCTTATTTTTTTTCTTTTTTTAGAATTTGTAGAGTTTGACTATTTCTCTAGCCTCTTTTGTAAAAAGTACATTTCAAATGTCATGGATAACAATAGCTAAATTAATAAAAATCTAAATTTTAATATGGGCCACTTTTGGTGCTTTACACCTTTTTTACTGGTCATTTTTTAGTTTCAAGAGTAAGGTGTGAGATTTAGAACATCACTTCACTTCATTAGATGTTGTCTTGCAGATGTAGAACTTATGAAAAGTAATTTTTTGCATTGACCAAAACTGATAAGCTGACGTCACGACAGCCAACAGAGGATTCCTCCTATCCTCTTAGTCGTTAAGTCTTGTTTTGATGGGTTATTTTCACAATTTATCAAAATAGGACACATGAGCTCATTCTGGACCTTTGTCAGGTGGTCTTTCGAACCACCTGAACCCACCAGAAATAACAGAAGCCAACATGGGGGGCTGAGAAAAATAATTTTAAAAAAATTATTAAAATAATTTCATAATTTTAGAAAACTTTTTTTTTTCCCTCCGTTTTTTTTATCTCTTATAACTTTTTGTATTTTGAGTTTTTTTTAATGTGGTTTCTGGCCTATGCGCTGTTTTTACACTTTGAAGTTTGATTCATCTATTATATCTTACTCTCATTTAAGCACTGATTTCAAATGTTTTTTTTTCTTCTTTTATGAACAATTTAAATGAAGCAGCATATGAATAAAGAGTCACATAGCCTTACATAACAAAGGTCAAAATATGTCTATTTGAAAGCATATTAAGCCATTTTGTAGCCCTCTATTTATTAGTAGTTCAGATTAGTAAAAAAAATCTAGGTGCCATCTGAAAGTTTCTTATTGTCATGTTATTGTCTCAAAGCATTATTGTCATGTTCCTGCAATTTCACTGCACATAAATGTTTCTATTCCTTGCCTTTAATGTAAAATAACTGAAATAGGGGAGGCATAATGAAAATGAAAATTTCAGTCTGCAAGTGCAATCGTAATTTAATCAGTTTAGAAGTTTAATCACCTCTCTCTCTCTCTCTCTTTTTCTCTCTCTCTCTCTCTCTCTCTCTCTCTCTCTCTCTCTTTTTCTCTCTCTCTCTCTCTCTCTCTCTCTCTCTCTCTCTCTCTCTCTCTCAATTCTGTTCAATTCAATAATTGCTTTATTGGCATGACAAATGTATTGCCAAAACAGTTCTAAAATTGACATAAAAATAAGAGAACATACATGTATAATAGAAAACACATTAAACGGTAAAAAAATAAAAAATAAAAAAGATGCATACATGTAATAATTAAATAAAAATATAAATAATAAATCATATTATTATTCAATATATCACATTATTACTCAATATATCATATCCTATTATTCATTTATAACAATCCAAATAATAATAAATCAGAATAAACTGTACATTTAACAATCAACATTTTAGGATAAAACAGTAATAAAAAAAACAATAATAATCAGTATATTTACAACGATTCATTTATAATAATGTAGGTGCATGGGTTTGCTCTGTCTCTCTCTGTGTATTCTTGTTGATTTAGCAGGATTTAAATGTGATGTCTGGCCAATGCGCTAATGTTCACTTTTAAACTTGAAGTTTGATTAATCTAGGCACCATTCTGTGTTTTGTTTGGTTAGTCTTGAACACTCATTATCAGCCCTCGTGCACCTGCCTCTGTGTGCATTGCATCATTCCCAACATATCCCCCCTTTTTTCCAGTAAATGTTTGGATGTCTTGTTTCTGGCAGGGAGCTTTGCAACTGCTCAGTTTCTCAGATACTAGCTGACAGGAAAACCTAATGATACATGCATAACTTGGATATACTGTATATGCAGGCAAAAACAACTGAGATGTAGACAAGCTGTCCAACAGCACAGATGAAAGGAGGACCTGGTCATCAATGACCCTGCTTCCCCCCCCATTCAACTAAGCAACTGAGCGATTGGGATCTCAGATTAGCGCTATTGAACAGCTGGGAATGTGTACACAGGAAATTGGATCTGATTTTCACTTTCTGTTCTGCTTGTGCCATATGGGGTGATGCATTATGATAATTCTGAGAGATGAATCACAATTCAACGCCTTTATGAATTTTATCAAGATGCTCACGCATGAAAAGCCATTATGTTAAAATGCAGGCAGGCGATGTTGTGTTTATCTCTCATAATAAAGTGTCCATTTATGCGTTCATGCAGTGTGTGATATAGATGTTCTTCTGCAAGAACATAGGAGACTGGAAAAATAATGATTCATTCATTTTTTTGAGGTAACTGGTTGCAAACAAGGATGACATGGTGTCTCAGTGGTTAGCACTGTTGCATCACAGCAAGAAGGTCGCTGGTTTAAGTCCTGGTTGGGCCAGTTTGGCATTTATGTGTGGAGTTTGCATGTTCTCCCAGTGTTGGCATGGATTTCCTTCAGGTGCTCCGGTTTCCCCCAAAGTCCAAACACTTGTGCTATAGGTGAATTGAATAAACCAAACTGGCCATAGTGTATGGGTGTTTCCCAGTACCGGGTTGCAGCTGGAAGGGCATCCGTTGTGTAAAACATATGCTGGATAAGTTGGCAGTTCATTCCACTGTGGCAACCCCTGAAGAATAAAAAGACTAAACCGAAGGAATGTGAATTGATATGGGCTGAATTTCAACAATCTAATAAATTGCATAATATTTAACTTCGTTTGTATAAATTCAGCCTATATAAATGGTTTGCAAACAGTTATTCTAAAACAAATGATAAGAGTTATTTGTCTCTCAATTGAAGAACAGCCTAAAATGAATCGTCAGTAATTTGAGTTTTACTTCCAGCACAAACATACAGAAGTTTGTAACAAATCTGCTCAATATCTATTCACCGAATGCCTGCAAGCAAGATTGAACCATGTGACATTCCTAGAAAATGCCACAGAAGTTAAAACTATTAACTTTTATTAGCGTCTCCAGCGCCTAGACTGCAGCTCTGCACAAGAAGTTTTGGCCAGAGAAGAAATGGTCGTGCCCAACTGAGCCTGGTTTCTGTTGAGGTTTCTTTTGTCAATTGGTGAAGTATGCCACTGACTTGCTTGGGTTGAGACTTGTAGAGCTGCGCATCGATGGATTTGCTCGTCAATGTTTAGACTTTCAGCATTAAAAAATTAAACCACACTGAACTCAACAAAACTCAACTAATTTGTG